TGCTGCAGTAGAAATGACACTGTAACTTCCCAGAGTAGGTCTTAAAAGGCTTTGTGCACTCTGTTTTACTTTTATAGAAATGTGGAAACACCACGCTATGAAGAAACCTCGCACAGCCAGCAAAAGGACAATTGGCTACAAGAAGAATGGATGCTTTAGCTGGCAGTGAGCTACCTGACATGTAAGGTAAGCCTTCCTGAATCCTCCAGCCCCAGCTGAGGTACCAGGTTACTAAAGTCATGAATGTGCCCAGGCAATGGGAATATCAAGGTCCTCAAAAGCTTTGGAAATTATAAACCACTGTTGATTTAAGCACTAAGTGTTGAGGTGATTTGTTAATGAAGCAGCTGAGACAAAAAAGATAAAATTTTGGCCTACTCTCTTCTCCCTTTCTCTTTCTTCTTGGAAAATAGGATGTACAATCATTTAGTGAGATTTAAGGAAGAGGCAATAGTAGGATGATGAACCTGTGAAGAGTATTTTAAACTGACTCATACGGGTCAGCCACTCTGACCAGGATGAAGTAGGGCATCGCAGTCAGGGAGGTTCTGGGATATGTTTTTACAGGTCTTTTCAAATTCAAAAGTTCCACCACATAAAAAGAACAAACCTAAGTGTGCAGAGGAAAACCAACTAGTTGGAAAACATGTACTACTGGCTGGGGAAAATCTGGTATCATGGATGAAAGGTGAACCTGAACCGTATGCTGAATAGAAAGCAGAATGAAAAGCAGACCCTGGAGACTGGAGAATGAAGATTGAACATCGATGAGGAGAAAGTACAGCCCGATAGAACGCAGATAAAGCTCCCACACACGTTGGAGCTGGGAGGTAGAGATTGCATTTGATCTCTAGGGCAATAGAAATTGCCCAGAAAAGAGTGCTAACTAGAAAATGGCCCAACACAGCAGTTAAAATCATAGCTTGTTTTATATTCTGGGACAAATGCAGACTGAGGTGTGTGGCTCAGAAAGTGGTAGAATGTAGTAGTCGAGGATGAAGACAGTTCAGTTTGAGGACTGGGACCAATAGTGAGGCAGGAAGGCAGGGTGTAGAAAAGCTGGCCTGGAGAGTAAGTGCAACCACGGCACACACGCCACACTGGAGGGCACACAGGCCAAATAACGCCCAAGACTCAGTATACAGGGTTCTCGCAGGTTCCCACAACCTGTGGGCTACAGAAAGAGATGGGAAGCCACTGAAAGTGTGCTTGGCTTTCCTCACAGTAGCCTATCTTGTGCCCCCCGGGGTGTGCTTTTGTTTTATTTTGTTTTTAATTTTTCCTCTCTTTTACTCGGCCCAAGTTCACTCTGCAGAGCCAGTTTCTGCCTTACCCTTCACTTTTCAAATAAACACTATCACCTTTTTTGCTGGTTTAGTTCAGTTTTTGGTTGCAGACAGAAGGAACCTGGACACCAAGACCAGGACCACAAAACTGGGTGACATTTATTTGGTGAGCTAGCTCTAGAAGGACACTACCCAGTGAAGACTCAAGGAAAATATGAGCATAGGGTTCATGATATTTCAGGGATCTACAGCATTCCCAACCCTCTTATCTTACTCTACTTTTTTTTCTCAGAGTACTGATCACAGTCTGTCATACAACATACCCAGTTTTCAAGTGTATCATTTATTTTGTATTCCTCTCTCCCTAGTAAAACAGAAACGTCACAGCAGCAAGAATTTTTGTTGCATTTGTTTACACATAGCTTCTGGGAACATACAGCAATTCTAGGTACAAAACAGACATTTAACAAATATTTATTGAATGAAAGACTGTGTCGAATACCCTAAGAATCTGAATAAAACAGACCTGGAAATTTTAGGCTCATATGGCCAGCTTAGAGGCCCAAACTGTGAAATTTCTTTTTATTTTAGGGGTTGGATAATGCATGAAACAGGGATGCCAGGCTCACCTTTGGATGCCATAGAAGGTATTTCTCTAGAGGGAGGTGCTAATCTAGAGAGTCCTTAGAAGGAAAGAACTGACTGAAAATAGGATAGCTATTGTCCCACATCCTGGCCTCATCACATGTCAAAATTTGTCTTCTGAATCCCAGTTTCCTGTCTAGAAAATGTAGATAATGTCGATAATATCTGCACAATTCCACAGGATCAGTATGACAATCTAAGACATACTATTTAATGAACTATTGATATTATGATTTTAAATTTTAATGTAAGTTGGCCTTATTGTGTTTTATTTACATTGGATTTTGTTTTTCCTATGGCATTTTTACAGTGATTTCTCTGTACATTAAGAGAATTTTAAGATGTCCTGAATACCATTATGATCTCTAGAGAAACACCTGATGGATAAACTCAAGGATCCTCAAAGTCACAGAAACATGTTTTCTGTATGAAAAAGCTGCAAGTACTATGTAATAAAACTTGGTAAAATAAGGAACTTTTGCTATTTATAATAAGCCATTCTTGTTATTATGACTATTATTACACTTAAAGAGTAGCTAGTCTCTGATATCTCTGTTATATTTATGTGTCACCTCCATAAAGGATACTTTTCTGAAGAGTAGTGTCTCATATTTACAGTATTTCATCAATACCCTTTTTACTTAACTTTTTCTTTATGTCTAATACAAATATGCCAAAAGTTACATTCAGCAAACCAAAGTTCTAACAGAGTGCTACACATGACTTGTAAGATAATTAAGAAAAAATAAGGGGAGTAAGTGTTCAGTAACCTTAGAGAGTGAAGCCATTCATTAGCTGACTTCAGTCTTCTGGTCAGGAAAGGTGAGGGTGACAATGAAGTGAGCAAAGATAGAGGAAGTCTAGCGAAGACAAAATTTTAATTTCAAACGGCATTATGAGAAATGTAAAATAAACACTGTGTTAAAAATCTATCAGAGAAAATTCAAGAAAGATTTCTCCCCTCAGGCTAGAATAGGTTTTATTTAAGAGACACAAATACTGGAAACAGGCATCAGTCACATGAACCACTGGTATCCTCACCTGGTATAAAACGGGGTCTTTTATGGAGGAGGCAAGAGCACAACATATTTTGATGTACACTGGGTTGAGGATTGGGTAGAGAGGGATCTACAAGTTGAAAAAATCTACTTTGAGAGTTTGGGAATACAGAACCAATGAAGTCACTGAAACCCTCAGGAGAGGTTGCGTGAATGGAAATTAAAAGCTTAGGCATGAAAGAAAGAAGCAAAAGATTAACAGAAAGTAGAAAGCCCAAACCCACATTTTGCATCTTCCCATTTGGTTGAGATGCCTGGCTGCCACTAAATGTGGAAATCTAGACGGCTTTGTGCAGAAGATATTTAAGTTTCTTCTCTTCAAAGCGAAATTACTAAGCCAAGTATGTTCTTTTTTCATTCCTTCAAACTACGTCACAGTTACTTGGATGCTCCAGTTTATGCTAAGCACAATCAACAACAGCCAGTCTTAATCAGAGATATAACACGGTCTGCTGCTGAGAAAAGATGTGGATTCTAAGCCAAAGATATAAAGAACATTAGACTTCTCAGTAAACTCTTGAAAGGTAAAAGAACGTAAGACTACCTTTTTAAAAAAAAAAAACTTTTAATTCTTACAAAAGAAATAAAGCAATATTTTTTTAAGTACATATGTAGCACTTACACTACACTAACATGTACTTTGGCATGCTACCGCCATAGCATAAGGTCAGTTGGGATGATTTTTAAAAATTTTAAATCTTAGGTGGATACTCTCGTAAAAGATGGATAGTAAGTATGACTTATGAAGGTATTTACTCTTAGAGAAGATGAAATAACTGAATTCATGTTCCCCAAAGTATAACAGTATCTAGTGTCTAATGGAACAACCTTACCTGTTTAAGTGGGCTTGGGAGTGAGATGCAAAGGATTTCAAAATGCATAATCTTATTAGATTTCTCATCTGAGATATTTGTAAAGAGAGTAGAAGAGTTAAGCGTCCCCATTACATCTACATCTACGTTCCACATTACATCTAACATGTATTTCTGCTTAGAAAGTGTGAGAACTCAAAATATTACTTTAGGTAGTTTTTAGTGGATTATTTTCAAATAAACCAAGTTAAAAGGATAAGGCAAAATATATCTTTTTATCTGTGAAATAATTATTGTGGACTGATAGAACACAGTTGTCTAAGTAGACATTTTATTACTGTAGTTACTAGAAAAATGGGCTTGTTTGGTTTAAGTGAGTAAACTGAAGCAAAGTTTAACTAATTCCTGTTCATTTTTCTATGATATTCAACTTTAGAAAGTCACATTTGCTACATTTAAGTTAAATACAAGGCAAAAGAACTCTAATATTCAGTTTCTGTAATTTTCAACAACTTAAATATACCTTAAAAATCCTACTTAAAATTAATTTAACCAAAGAGTAACAATGCAGGGCATGGTGGTGCACGCCTGTAATCCCAGAACTTGGGAGGCTGAGGCAGGAGGATTTTTGTGAGTTTGAGACCAGCCTGGGCTACAAAGTAAGCTCAAGACCAGTCTGAGTTGCATAGTGAGACCCTGTGTTAAAAAGACAACAAACAAACAAACAGAAAAAACAAAGAGTAGCAAGCTTTAAAGTACATAACAGAAATCCAATATGATTCATTATAAATATTAGACTAAACTCAGTAAAACACCAAAAATATAAGCCCCAGATCATGAAAGCAGTATTAAGCTTTGCACGGTACTAGCTCATCTTCCTCCCATTCCTTTCTACTGAATTTCAGCCTAGTGTATTTGAGTTACTCCAAAATGAGAATAATTAAGAGTCTTTTGACCAAATAACATTCCTTGAGGCCAATCCAAACTTCAACAGAAATCACTAACCACTTCCTCTAAAATGCCATGGAATTTTTCTTGTTTTACTTGAAGTCAGTTTTCATTACCAAATGACTAGACTGTACTTTATGATATAAAAGATTCCTTCTGTTGAAATTTCAACCATAAAACAAACTATAGTCAAATAATATTTTCCATTACCTTGTAAAATAACTACACAATATAAAAAAACACTGGCTTACCAATTTCCTTCTTCGTTTGCGTATTGTTGAACAGTATAGCCAAACATGTCTTCCACTGGGCCACTGAAACTCATTGAATTTTTCACGTCCACATTGAAGGATTCACAGAAGCCTAGGACAGTTTTAAGGAGGAAGACAAGGTCCAGTTATAAAAGTTAACTGGGATCTCATCATGTTTGAATTATCAAAGGCATTCTTCAGGTTACCACTAAAAGCTTTGCTCTTATTAAGAAAACAACAGAGCTAAAAAAATGAGAACCTCATAAAAGGCCCTAATATTAACTGTTATTACTGACTGAAAGGAAACATAATGGTTTTAAAGAATACAAGTGTTAATATTCAAACAAAAATAACCCATAAAAATTTAGTGTCTGCACCATTCCCAGAAGTAGAGTGAAGTGACGTATGAGAAAGTCACAAAAATTCATACTCATAGTGATGAGGGCAATTGCAGATACTTTCCCCACAGTAAGTCATACACTGAACCATAGCCGCTAGTAATTATAAACAGCTTCATTTTCCCAATACAACTACAGAGGATGCAAGTATTTGCACTTAAAGTCCCATGGGAAGAAGACTTTTCCTTGCCACTTCTGAAAGGAAAGCTAAATAGACTGTCTGCCCTGAGAGATGGCTTCATATCTTGGCTTAAGATGTGTTCTGTTTCTTTTCCTTAAGCAAGCAGTGGTGAAAGCTTTTACTAATACAATAAAGCCTTTTTTATAATGTTGTTGGTGGTGATAATCTCACAAGTAGTGGTCTAAATTAGATGACATGTCTGAAAGTTCACGCAATGCCTGGCATATACTATATGTAATCAGAGATAATTCCTTTAACTTTTCTGGTAGTCCAGGCAGTGAAAACCCTTTAATGGTGATACTGTCTCCTAAAAGGATTCTACAATCATAACTTCAGATAAATGGTGCCTATTTCATTTTTTGATACTGGTTTTTAAAATGTAAAGTTTCAAAATATCCACTCTCCCCAGATACAACTAAGAATTCTCCCCCAATACTGCCTTACACAACTGCAATACATCATAAGGTGTATTCAGAGGTGATTAAACTCAGTTTCCTCTGTCAAAACCACAGTATCATTCACAGGGATTCTGAATAATTTCTTTTCTAGTCTTATAGATTGTGAATGGATTTAATCACTCCAATCATAAAACACTTATTATTATAAACTTTTCCATAAATGTAGTCTAAATCCAGACTATCCTAGTTCATAAAATTCAAATTTTGGTAATAATAATAAAAGCTTATTTGATATATAGAATTCTAACATAACTTTGGAAGAATTTATTCTTCAAGGAAACAAACAGTAATTTGCCAGGCATGGTGGTACACACCTGTAATCCCAGAACTTGGGAGGCTAAGGCAGGAGGATTGTTGCAAGTTCAAGACCAGCATGGGCTACAAAGTGAGCTCATGGCCAGGCTGAACTGCACAGCGAGACCCTGTCTCAAAAAGACAGAAAAAAAAAAAAAAAGGAAACAACAGTAAAAGTTATATATGTATATATATGCATATAATATCTATTTATATCTAATTTATATTCATATAAATTCTTTCTTGATCTCCCCTACTTATAAATAACCTTATTTCTAACTACTAAAACCTCTTTTTTTTAAAAAAAAAGTCTAATTAGAGATAACTATTAAATGCTAACTATATTGAACTTACCTATGTTAGCTTTTTTTTCCTAGATTGAAAAATTCTGTCTTACTCCTCTTTTTATCCCTTATTGAAATCTAGCACAGCTCCTCATAAGCACACAGATAATAATTCATCTGTAGACTAAAAGTTAACATAGTGAAGAGGCAAATGTGCCAACTATAGTTGGAGGTGAACTAGCAACTATTCTATCTTAGATAAGGAAGATTTTATGAAGCTAGAAATTTTCAAAGTAGTGTTTTAAGAGGAGGGAGACTTGCAATTTGGCAGAGAAGACAATGTATACCCAGGATTTGGGAGGGTCCCCACAAGTAACAAGACATGGGACGAGACAAATAGGGTTGTAAGAAGAGGAGGAGATCTGCCTGGCTAGTGTGAAGAAAGCAGAAAAAAGAAAGAATGATTAGCATAGCTCTTTTTATGTCCATTTCTTGTTCATTCTTCCAGGATAATGGAGAACAGCTGGTCACCATCTTCTGCATAATAGTTTTTCATAACTTGAAGATCTTTTTAAAAACTGCACACTCTGCTCTAAGCTACATGGTACATGCTTTTATGCTTTACACACAGGTTTTATTTCTTGATTCTTGAACAACTTTAATGTACTATTTTTGATCAGAGAAACACAGAAAAATAGTACTTCTATATCAGGGTTTCTCAACTTTGGCACCATTGACATTTGGGGTCAGAAAATTCCTTATATGATGGATATGTTGTGTTGCCGGGTATTTAGCAACGTCCTTGGCCCATAGCCATGTGATGTCAGTAGAACTACATAACTTTTAATGATCAAAAAATGTCTCTAGACAATGCCAAATTCCTCCAAGGCCAAAATTGCCCACAACTGAAAACAACTGCTGAACAGATAAAGACCAGAACACCACCACCAATTATTTTGTAGAAGGAGGCCACTGAACACCAGCGGAGCCATAAACCAGCAGCACATGCATCATCCATGAGCTGGTGAAAGACACAGAATTCCACGTCCTACCCTTATGTCTTGAGTCAACATCAAGATTATGACAAGACCCCTGGAGACATTTTATTCTTGTTAAAATTTCAGAAGCCCAGATCTGTAATGTGTTATTTCTTTTTTGTAATGTTGATGTAGGTAATGGAAGTTACCTAAATTAAAAGTATTCAATAAGCTTTAGTCAGAGATGAAAATGATTCTTTTTAATTGTGATCAATTTCTCACTTTTGAAAGCTTTTTCCAGCATATCATCATCTGTAAATAAAAGGCCATTTATGGTACCCATTTAGTTTAAGATCAACAGCTTTTGGTTTCCTTCTTGGGCTTGTTTATTCTACATGTTGTGTGGAATGTCCCGGGGTGTGTGCTGTACTGTACTTTTTTTTTTTTTCATTTCCCGTACGGAGAGTTCTAAAGGCAACTTTCCCAAAGTGATTGTAAATCAGGACCTTTCATATTTTCTAAGGCATTATGAAGCCTGACACACAGGAGATGACATTAAAATAAAAAATAGTTTACATCTTGTTCTTTTGATTTAAAAGAATGTGTAAATAGTATAAGTAGCTTCTCATAACTTTTAGCTCAGTGTTCATTTTGTTCTATTACTATTTCTTGGAACTTTGTTCTCATTCTCAATCAAAGTTAAAAAACAAAAAACAAAATGGACAAGGGTGGCTTATGTAGAAGTATAGAGAAAATATTGAAAATGATGGGAAATAAAACATAGATAATAGTCAAAGAAAGAAAGTAAATTCTGATTTGTTCCAGCAAGACAGGAGGGTGTTTTCTTTACTTATCATAACAACTAAATCACATACTTATAGTGTTATTCTTCGTGTGTTTCATCCGTTAAATTTGCCAACAAGTCTATAATAAAATACCATTATTATGACCATTATGTGGACAAGAAGAAAAAAGCTGAGGAAGACCAAAAGAATTGGGCATATTTCCACAGGATTCCAAAGTTGAAAACATTTATAACCACTTACATTGACTCTGGTTTTATAATTTTGACCTAAAACTGGAAAAGGCTAGTAAAAGGTGACATAGGGATGGGTTTGGAAGAGAGATTCCTGTGATAGATTAGAATTTATCCGTGCGACTCCATCTTCTCTGAGGCAAATGGGAGGGAGAAGACTTTCTTCCCTGGCAGTGGTCTCGGAATGATGTTGGAAATCAGTGGAAGGCTGGGTAAGGACAGATGCCATGGCTACATATCTCAGATCAAGCTTCTTGAGGCACTCCAGCTAAAATAGACATGTTTAGGTAGAAAAGACATAAAAAGGCTTGCTCCATTTCAAATGCGGTAATATATGTCATATATGTAATAGTTAAAAATTGAAGAGGCAGATGAGATTGTTGGTACTGAAAGGCATCTGCTGTAAAGGAAATCATTTTGTGCAATGTCTTTTTCCCAGGATGAAATTCATGTCTAAGACAACTAAATGAGAGAGAGACAGAGAAAAGTAACCTACAGCTATGAGGTGGCTTCTACCAGCACACATTTTTATATAGATAATGGAATTGAGCCATTTAATAATCTGTGGAGGTTATGCAGGGAAGCAGTCATCATCCTCTCCTTCTGCATTACGAAACATAAGCTCAGAGAGATTGAGTGATTTGTCTAAAGACCAGCTTGCAATAATATAGAGGCAGGACATTGACGCTGGTCTTTTTAGGTCAAGCCATAGACTTTCCATAACTAGATTAATCCTGAGTTGGTCAGATTTAGAATAAAAACAATAACCCAGCATAAAGCAATGCTTAGATGGCCCATGACAGCTCTTAAACTTTTTATAGTTTAGGAATATTTGAAGGTGGAAATGACAGAAAAAGTTGAATAAAGGTGGCAGAATCTGAGCATCTCCAGAGGATGTTGACTCTGGTGGAGGGGAGGTCTGCCTCCTCGCATCCTTCAATCCCAAGAAGAGGCACTAAAGCTTACTTGACTCTTCCCTAAAGAAGAAAGTCTTTGCCAGTTGCCTGGGAATTCTGTTCTGGTAATATAAAAATGGGAATATTTAAAAGCTAATGAAATCCTATATATTGTAAATTCCAAGTGCAAAGCAAGTGAGTGTCAGTGGTGACAAGTGAAATGTATTAAAATGTGATTGCTTTTATAACTTTCAACACATTTATTCCATCCATAAATAGGAAAAATCATACAATTAACACAATTTTATTAATTTTACTACAAAGAGTGAAATGATGGCACAAGTTTAGGGGAGGAGATGCTAAGAATTGTGAATTAATGGCCTTTACAGTAAATTCCTTGATGGAATAGAAAGATAGTGTAGATTTGAAATCTTAATTTATTCCTAATAGGCTAAGTGATTAGAGATCAAATCTGATTTACATAGTTGTAAGAAATGATGCAATTCAGTGGAGGGAATAGCTTTGGAACTATATGTACCACCTACTTCAAACATATTGAAGTCTTTACTCTGGATTGGACATATACTA